GAACTATAATTACTGGGGTATGATTATGGCACTGTTTCCATACTTAGGTAATCCAGGTACTCAGATGTATGTTTCAAGGGAGAAAATCTACTTTTGACTCCTGGAACAGAGATTAGCAATACTCACAGTATTCTGGTTTTGCAGAGTGCAAGAGTCCTGTGATCCCAGAGGCTTCTATCCAAAAATTTTCCCCTCACCCGTGCCTACCCTCTCAGGACCAAGTCTACAAACAAATACGAGGTCAAATTGTAATAATTCCTGAGAAACCTTATGTCAGAATTTCTAAGGGCCTAAAAAGTGGGTTCTTCTTCTGCCCATCTGGAAATATTCAGGTTAACAAAGAATGCAACTATGTTACCTATGTTCAAAATAGCTCACGAGTTCTGGACCAAAGTAACCTACCCTATCTGAATGGGAGTGGGCTATGGGGGATCTGTGAGACTATAACTACTTTGTACAATGTAGAAAAGTACCATGTCTGAAATTAATGCCCCTTCCGAACGTGAAAAATGGATTACAGGAGGAAGAACAGAAAGTAAAAAAGGAATAAATATGTTATAAAATAATGGACCTGTAACATTACATGTATACCTCCAGCAAGGCTCAGAGCAAGACATAATATTACCTATAAATTCATTTACTCCAAATACTTCTTTTATTCCTTCACTCTGAAATAGCAAATCTCTGTTTGTTGAGAATACCCATGCTTTTGAAACTCAGGGAAAGAGGAAGGTGTGCAAATCTGAGAAGTTTTGTCATGAGAGACAAAGCATCCATATGATATGGTGGATTAGACTTATTAAACATTAAATGGGATTCAAGGAATGTGGGAGTTTCTTTTGAGTCCCATATCTCTTATACATGAGAGAATCTGCTTAAAAAACAAAGATTTTACATTTGATATTTTGATCTACATATTTAGTTTTGCCAACAACTGCTGCCTTGTACTCCTTCCCAAGGCAGCTCACAGTATGCTGAGACTCTCCAGTTCCCAAGAGTTACTCCTCATATCCTCAAAGATAGAATGCTGAAGAATCTAAACTCACAGACCTTATTCATTTCCCACTCAGTCTGTTAGAACTTGGTCCCTCTCTGTGTACCATCAAATTTCAACAGGATTCTCTTGCTTCAGTCATGCCTATACAATTCAGTCTCCACAGGAACCCAAAAGAGTAATTTTCAGATAGCTGAACATCTGGAGGCTCCCAGTAGATGGTGAGACCAGCAACAGCAAGCTCCCTGCCAGTTTTTCCATACCTCTCCAAGGCATTTCTCCATTTCACAACCTTCTTTATAATAAATTCACATAGGTAAGTAAACATTTCTCTGAGTTCTATGCCACACCCAGTCAGCAAATCAATTTTGTGGGAAGCCAGCTTACTAGCCAGTAGTTTAGAAAAAGAAGTAAAATAACTTAGGCCAGGCAACTGGCATCTAAAGTGGTCTGAACCCTCACTGTGTGGGACCTGCCACTGACATTAAACAGTTCAGCTGGGGTCTGCTATAGAAGTGATTCTGTACATGCTGGTGGGGAAAAATGCCCACACATATTGGGATCACATAAATGATCTGTGTTATTATAGTGGAGAACATGAATTTGAGCAGGTTGTTCCCTGCTACTATCACTGAAAGTTTCTGTGTACCTGTACTTAACAGACTTTTCTCTTTAGCTCTCTTCAGGGTGCTCCAGTCACCACACCTGCTTCTTCTGTCCTTCTTGCTGCATTGGCCCTGACAGGGTGGAGCTGCCCTATGATGGGAGCAGGAGGCTTCCAGGGCCAGAGAATTGTCTACTTGTTGGTACAGGAGAAGGGACTGTAGGAGGTCAAGGTCTTGGACAAGATCTTCAGAGCAGAAACAAGAGAAGAATTCTGTAGTAAGTGAGCTCTCGGCTTGAGTGTGGGGCTCCACTGTGATGTCTGAGTGGGAGTGGGCGGGGTGCTTGTGAAATAAATCAACCAGACTTGGAGTTTGTAGATTCCTCCCGTGTCTCTACTCATTCACCAGGAAAATCACAGATGCAATGCCACAAGAAAGCACTGAGCAGCTTGGAAGATGGGATTCTGGCCTGATCCAGAATTTGACAGCTTGGCCACAGGCACCACTGTGCCTGTAGGTTACTCTGTTTTTCATCTAGTCATCACACATCAGATCTCTCCCTTGTCTGAGGCTTTTTAATGTGCTGAAGGTGCTGGACTTGGCAACTGTCCTGCAACATCTGCAAAAGAATCATTAAACCAGGGGCCTCAGCTGTGGACCTTTGACTCTCTGGAGTTCCCTGATTATCATTTTTCATTTTTGTTTTTCTACTGATGTTAAGTGGGGTTTTCTTTGAGGGTAGATTTTCACTTACCATCTTAAATTAGGGTGAATTAAAAAGAAAGAAGACTATTAGTCACTTTCCCATCACTGGGACAAAGTATTCAACACCAACCATTTTAAAAAGGAGAGATTTATAGTGGCTCACAGTTTCAGTGGATTCTGGCCATTGTCATCTGACTCCAAGGCAGACATGCCGTGGTGAAAGGGAATAGTGGAAGAAAGTTGCTTACCACTTAGAAAACAAAGAGAGAAGGAAGGATCTGGGTATGGGAACACCTTCTCAAGGTCCCACCTCCAAACATGAGGTTTTGGAGAATATGTTAGATTTCAACCATAACAAAGGTAAAACTGCATTTGTGTGTGTGTGTGTGTGTGTGTGTGTGTGTGTGTGTGTGTGTGTATGCCTGAATATGCACAAGCAAGAGAAAGATGCAGAGACAGAAAGAGACTGAGAAAGAGGCAGAGATATAAAGATAGAAAATGAGAGAATTTGTGAGCACCTTTGCAAAGTCACACTGTAGGACAGACACAAAGTAAAGGCAGCATAATTGACATGCCTTACTTGGATGCCTCTCACTGTTCTTCACATATAAATACAATGGTTGAAAATTTCCTATAGCAGACCAAGATTATTTTCCCTACTGCAAATGTAACCTCTGGATAGATACTAGAAGCTTTCCCCAGAAGCTTACCACAGTTCCTCAAAACCTCCCTTTTCTGGGAAGATGGGAAAGCAGGTTTTTCAATATGCTCAGCAAGAATATAAAGGTCTGGAAAGGAGAGACTACTGGTTCCAATCATCTGATTAATGGAGATCAGAGATCAGGCTACAGCCCTATCCCTGAGACATCATCACTTGACTCTTGGTGCAGTGAGTCTTCAGTCTCTTTTACTGTGTCCTTGTATGCTTCAAACCCTTGACTATCTCCCTTCCCAGCCTGGTGACACTGGATGTCTCCCTGCAGGCCATGCTACCAAAGAGGACCCTGCTTGGTGCATAGAGACCCTCAACTGGATTCAGGGATTATATTTATCACTATACTCTTTTCCATTCTTCTCTGACTTCCTTAAAATTTCCAATTTCTCTCTATATATGACTCAGTTTTGATAAACAAATACTACCACACAACCAATACTGTTTGTAAAGCTTATTTCTGGACAATAATTGCAAACTTCTAATGCCAGGAGAGGACAGTGCTCAGTTTAAAGACATAGATACCAAGAGTGATGATTTAGATATTCATCAGATGGACAGAGGCCTGGGAAGGTAGGTTGAGGAATCTGTACAATATTCTTTCTGCAACAGGCACTATGTGACATGTGCACAGTGTCAACTCATAATTTCTTCAAGTCATTCTTAGGAGACAGGGAGCACAGTTACTCTCCTTTTTCACAGATGAGGATATAGATAACCAAAGATATATTAACTAACTTTCCCAAAATCACACAGCTGAATTAAGGCAAAGTAGGGGTTGTGACCAGGAGGTCTATGGTCTGTGCTCTTAATGGCTAGTGGGCCAAGCTGTTTCTGTCTGAGCTGGACTCAAATGCAGCTCACACCACAAGCAACTACTTATTCTGCCTACACAAAACATTGGCCAAGCCCATGTGACTTGGATAAGGAGGAAGTTGTGACTCCACTATGAGTCACCCAATTTGCCTCTCCTGGACTCTCAGGGTCCCTAAGCACTGACAGGGTGAGAGCCCACTTCTCTCTAGGTCTGGGCACCTCCTTCCTCTCACAATCATTCATCTGAGCTACACTATTTGAAGTCAGGAGCAAAGGAGACTCGGAGGAAGGAAGGACTCAGAAAGGACGTACTCAGGGAAGATTCTACTTCCAGGTTGGTACCCAACTCCCTCCTGTGGCTCTGCCTCACCACCCTCCACTATAAGGACTGCTTGGGGTTATCTGACAAGGGGAAAGGCCAAGAGTAGATACGACTCAGTAAAAGATTCCTTCCTCTTGCACCACAGGTTGGGCTTTCTCCACCTCTGTATTTTCCCTCTAATTGTCTCTCCCCTTCTAAGGCCCTCATGGCCAACATCAATTCACTTTCCTTATCCTTACTCTACCTCAGAAAAGTTGATTTCAAACACCCAGTCCTGCTCTTGAGGGGCAGAGATTTGTCTCCAAACCTCTTTGAGCCTCACTTCCCTCACCTACACAGGGGAAATCAGAAGTCCTACATGCTGAAATCATTAAAAGAGATAAGCATACTGTGAGATTTTATGCAAATTATAAAGCACAAGCAAGGTAAGGTACGGATGCAAATTATGCAGACAAGAGTGGACATTGTGGTTAATTTGAGATGACAACTTGATTGGTAGTGTCATTTCTGTGGAACACCTTTGAGTCTGAGACATTGATGTGGTATCTGTTGTCCTGAGCTGGATGGCTAGGAAGCAAGAGGTTGACTCATTTGTAGCACTGAGGTCTGTTTTTGATAACACCTGGCATGTGGTAAGATTTTCAATTCAATGTATTACTAGAGCCCATCTTAAAGTTTCTGTTAACGGCTCCACTCTTATCACCCAAACAAAACTCAGCCTGACCCTAACTCCTTTCCTTCCTAGTCCCAGACCTAAGTACAAGAACATGTCAGAAGAAGATCTGAAAGTCATACTTTGTGGGTCTCCCCTTCCGTGTTACTACTGCTGGAACACTGCTCCTCTTCATCAGAACTTTGGAGAGATATTTTTTATTAGTCTTTTGCTGTCCTTTTTTCGTTATATCCTCTCAGGTATACTGAGACCAAGGTGAGCATCCTGCCCTACAGCTCTGCCTCTGTTTCTTCTTCGGTTCTAAATCCATACATGATTTTTCATTCAATATAAAATTAAATGCCAACTCTTCCCTCTTATATGTAATAATCTACAACCTGGGACTGTCTTTAATTATTTCCTTTTTGTAGATACACAATGAGATACTGCTCAGATTCATTTTCTGAGTAGTATGCTGATAGGGTAAAAACAGTTGTTTGCTCTTTGCCAACGAAAGCTACACATTGTGGTTTCTGTACCTTTATTTACTTATTCCTTGTGTGAAATGTGCTTCCTCCACATCTTCCCACTATGACTATCCAAGAAGTCAAAGATGTCACTTAAAAAAAGCTCCCATCAAGCTTTCTGGCAGCCTTCTCTGTACCTGTGTTCCCACAGAGCTGCAGACAAAGACCAGGGTGACAGTGTTGGGAGGAGACATTCTATATGCCCTGTGCCTGAGAGCAACCTGCCAGGGCATCTCAGTTTTCATCCATGAAGCCACTCTCTTGATGTCTCAGGTGTCGTTCATAGAAAGACCATCCTGGATGCCAACCTGAAAGGTAGAATAACTGGAGAATGAGATGCAACAGGTAGGAAAATGATGGCAGAAGAGATCAGGAAAAGAGGAGAATCTGATGCAGAATACCAGCTGGACTCTGGTCCAAGCACCTTTGCTTACCACTCCCAGTTGAAAGAGCTCAGAGCTGTTATTCTTGGTGAGAACTAGGCTGAGAAAAGTCAGAAAGTTGACCAATGCTCTAACAGTATTCAGTAGGAGAGTAAATATTTAAACTCATATCTATTTGACTCCAAAGCCATAACAGCTCTTTTAACAACTCTTGCATTCTGAGGTAGACTACACTCCAACTCTACACTGTTCCTGTCCATCCACCCACTACCTCCTCTGGGCCAGACAGATCTTGCAGATGCCTCCTCATTCAGGCATTTCACGGTTGTATCGGAGCTGATGAGAACATCCAGAGACTTCTGTTTGCCTACAGGTAAGATTTCTTTCCTGAAATCACATCATGGGAAGATGTGCTCAGGGCCAGTCTGTGCTTACAAAGGTATGACACAGACCAGGAAAGGTGCTGGAGCAACAGAAAAGCACTGCACACAGGTCAAAGGTAGCAACAGTAACCAGAAAAAAATGCTCAATAGTTTGGACTTTCAGAATTTAAAGATCGCATATCTTTGCTTTAAGTGCCTGCCACTGACTCTCCCACTGAGCATATGCTGTCTCCTAGGGCATTGGTGATCTCCTAAGCTTTGTTAATTTATTTTTTAGTTGTTTTAGGACAATGGAAGTGGAAATAACTGTAGGGTGCTGCTTTGAATTAAATGCAGAAAAGGACTGATTCTTGGCTCCACTCTTTCTAACTCTATTATGTTACATATATATATATATGTAACATAATTTATATATATATATGTAACATATATTATGTTACATATATATATATATATATATATATAGAGAGAGAGAGAGAGAGAGAGAGAGAGAGAGAGAGAGAGAAAGAGTTTGGTCCAGAGTTCCTGACTTTTATCTAAATCTAAGGCCACAATATAAGTGATAAAAATCTCAGCATTTCATAGGGATTCTGCAACCCCCCCCTTTTTTTTTTAAAGAAAGCAATTCTGAAAATATAAACAGACTGGTGTTCCTTGGTTTTTCTACTGAGTCTACTAGCATTGGGTCAACTCTTTTTATCTGATCACATTTCTATTCAGTTGTCTGTTTTTCAACCATGACTATGCAGTCTCCTTTAAAAGGCAAAAGGATAGAGTTTGCAGTTGTTTCATAGCCAAACAAGGCCAGTCTGTGCCAACAAAGGGGATGGAAGGTGGCCAACTCTTTCCCACAATCCCCTTTCTGTATGCCCTGTGTCATATTGGACTTCTCTGTACCTGTACCTATTGGAATTTTCTTTTACACCTCTCCAGAGTCACCTTATTATCAGACCTGTAACCACTGCATTCTACTTCCTGTACTGACCATGTCTGGTTATAGCTGCCTGGTGACAGGAGCTGGAGGCTTTCTTGGCAAGAGGATCATTCACTTGCTGGTGCAGGAGAAGGAGGTGAAGGAGGTCAGGGCCCTATACAGAGTCTTCAGACCACAAGACAAGGAGCAACTCTCCAGTAAGTGAGCTGGAGGTTGTGGAGGGGGGGGGGGGAATATGGCTTTGTGAAACCCTGAACAAGTCTGAGTAGAGGTTCATTGTTTATTAAGTATAATGAATGGCATGAATAAGAGACCACCAGGAACCACCTGAGCAGGCTTGGGTAAAGATAACATGACAAAAGATTTATTTTACCCAAGTATAGGCAGATTGAAGATGAGAAGGCCATCAGTCCTGAACAAAAGAAAGCAGGACTTTTTATAGGACTTGGGAAGAGGGGGTTATGTGAAGAGATCAGGTAGGGGTATCATGAGGTGGGTCTGAGCACACCTCTTTGGTCAAGGTTCTCACAGTGTGCGGTGCAGATGTATGAATGTTATCAGGTGTTCTGGCCTATGTTGTCGGCTTTCAGACAGATCCTTCCTAAGTGATTAACATACCTATATGTAGATCTGAGTAGTGATCTGACCCAAGGTCTTAAGGTGATAGAGGAGACAGATACAAAATAAGGTCAATATTTCATCTGCTTCTAGTTATCTAATAGATATCTGCAGGCCCAAGTGAAAAGTCAGTTTCTTTTTCTTTTTGGTTTGGTTTGATTTGGCTTGGCTTGGTTTCAGCAAGAACAGCTTTTACATCCCTGGCTGCCTCAGAAGACAGCTAAAATTATGTTCTTAATGAGTAATGGGTGAAGGTACCAGGAGTTTGTTTCTCCTCTGTCTCTATGGCAATGTCTGTTTATGTGAGTTGAGACCAACAAAATGACAGAGAAGGATAGATGCAATGAATTTGCAAACATCTGCACAAGGTTGCACGGGAAAGACACAGTGAGGCCAGAATGATCTGACATGACTCATGTGGATGCATCTACATTTCTTTCACATTTCCTTTCTGCTCTTCACCTCATATTCAAAGTGCCCGAAAAATGTGCTGGAACAACACATTATTCTATTCCCAAATTCTTGTGCCTGGTGAAAATGCATTTTCCAACCTGCTTCACCCCTACCTTCTCAAAACAATCCTTTGGAGAAGGTAGGAAAGAGGGCCACCCACAAAACAGTGAGGATCTTAAGATACAGAAAATAGTCCACTGGTCTCTGAATAAAGGGGAGCAGAGCTCAGTCTAGACCCTCATCCTTCAATGTCGAACAATCTTAGCTCTTATCACTTGGCCCTGGGACTGATTCTCATCAAAAATATTCTTAGTCTCTCACACTGCCATCCTGTGTACCACAGTCCCTGTCCTTGCTGCAACCCTGAGACACTGGGTGTTGATTTTCGTGCCCTGGCTCCCCAGAATATTATTCCATTAAGGTTTAGCCTGCCTTAATATTCAAGAAATGGGGATGGTACAAAGTAATCAGGTTTATTTAAGGGCTAGCATCTTGAACAAATGGAAGGTCAAACAAACTCAACCTCCATTTTGGAGGTACACAAGGCTTTTATAAGAAGGGCAAGTTGGAAGGAGTCAAAAGACTGAATACTTGTAGCATCTTTAGCATGCAGGGCATGAGCCTCCTCTTTTCCTCTGGCCAGAACATAACAACAGACCTCAACCACTTAGGGCTTTTTCCTGTAGTTCTTTTTCAGTAGAAGCATAGACCAAATAGGGCATTACAAACATCATCAGACATTATGACTTCTGTAAATCTAAATAAAGATTATTTTGTGGTTAGCATTTTAATCATTGAGGTGGAGGTTTTCCTTTGTTTGTACAGAGGTTTCCTTTGTACAATGTTTGGCAAAAAGGAGCAAACATACACCTTGCAAAAATATTAGGAAAGCAGCGAAAGGCAAAAGAGAGATTGAAAATAACTCTACTAAAGACAACTTCCCAAGGAACTTCCCTGTTACAATTCCCACCCTGTTATTGTTCATTTCAACAGTGAGAAATTTGTCGAGTGCTAGTCAATATGCCTATTAAATGCTGATCCAGGGCATAAATCTGAGTTGGAGGAATGAAGTGCTTTAACATTCATCTGGAAACATTACCAGCATCCTGACAGGTAGCGAACTAGTACCAGAAGGTTATATATCATAGCCTTTGTTTTATTCCCCAAGGCCTCTAATTTAGCATACAAGGAACCCAATTTAGGAGCATCAAATATTCTTCACTGTGGGAAATGATAAATTAGGTTATCCTTGGTTAAATTTCCTCATTTTTCTAAATGCTTGCAAGTTGAGACACCATCTTACCAAACACAAATCAAGGTGGCAGACCAAATATTGATTTCTTCTCAAATAACTCCTCTTTCAATTTTTCTTTTCTATTCAAAAGAGGTAGGGGCTGGGGATTTAGCTCAGCAGCACAGTGGTGCCTGGCAAGCACAAGGTCATGAGCTCGATTCCCTGAACTGGAAAAAAAAAAAAAAATGGAAAAAAAAAAAAAAAAAAAACTAAAAGAGTCTCCCATTTTCCTAAAAATTACAACCTTCAATTCTAACTGACTAAACTTTTGTTTTGGACCAGTTTATTTGGTATTTATGGAAGAAGCTTCCTTAGCTTTCACTCAGAGGGTGTCGTCCCCTCCTCCCACCACCACATACACACAGTGTGTTTTAGGTTTATATTGCATATTTATGGACAAAATTGAGAGGATCTCAAGACATTGGGTAAACCCTGTATGTGTTCCTCTTAAATGAACCAGCAAGACCTTTTGCCCTGGGAACGAGACATCTTCTATCCATACTTGAACTATGAGGCCATTGCATATTCTGGGAAGTTCACCATAACACTTCCATCTGTTTGAGGTGGAGGGAACTAGCACCTCTTCATCTTTATGATCAGATACTCATGGAATTTCCAGATTAAGAGAGCAAGTTGTCAGTGATAAGAGAAAGAGATGAAAAAGTAAAATGGATAAATTTAGATCACTGAGAAGTGGAAGGAGAAAAAGACTGAAAGATGAAAACATGTTCTGAAACAATAAGAGGATATCCAAATTGTGAACAACAGTTCACAATAAACCAAAGGACCATTAACAAATGGATATCCACAATTTGGGTATCCAAATTGTGAACAACAGTTCACAGTAAATCAAAGGACCATTAACAATACTAAAACAAAAGACTTAGGCTCCAGGAAAAATTCGCCAACACCATCCAAGGTGAACTGTCTCTATATAGTGGATTAGAGCATTTTAATTTTACAAACCTAAAGTTGAGAATGGACTATAAGTCCATTAGTATATTTCTGGTTGACCAAATAGTCTGGTTTAATCCTCCAGCTGAGCATCATCTCAGAAGATATTGCCCTCCATCCAAATGAGATGCTTGGTGGCTATATTGAGTGCTTTGCAGGCCTTAAAGAGGAAGATCATCCCCACCTCACTGTCATATTGTGAAGGGGATGCACTGCCAGTGGTCCCTCATTGTGCAAGGAACAGAGCGGTGCCATGGCCCCTCCATTAAATGGGCACATATTGAAAGCATTTAGTTTCCTCATTCTTTTCCTCATGAGTTTTACTATTCTGCAAGGAAATAATGTCTTCAACTCCTCTCTGAACTATCAAACTGGTACTCATGTTACCAGGTTTTGAGGCGCAGAACTTTCCTTCTGAAGGGGGTTTCTAGGTTCTTTCTGTCCTGAGCAAAGAATTAGTCAAAATAAATGCAAATGGTAGTGACATTTTATTAAAGGTAGGAAGAGAAAAAAGACCTCTTCAGAGCAAGACTGGGACAAGTAGGAAAAGAAGTATACCCTACAGCACGAGAGGAGGCAAGAACTTGGTGGGGAGTATGGAGGGTCTTTTTGTACCATCCACTCTTCAGGCTGATGTCAGGTCTAGCCCATCCTGTTATCCTTGAGTGGGGCAAAATAGTGCGGGTTCTTGTGTATGATAAGAAAAGAACTGTAAAGAATACACTTCATAATAAGTTCCTATGTTTATTGAAGATCATGGGATGGTAGCAGAAACAGGCAAAAGGGCAGCAGCAACAGGCAAAAAGAAGAGGAACCCAGAAAGAGGAACTCTCAAAGAGCTTTACACAACTCAAGCTTCCAGCATTTAAAGAGTCAAGCACCTCTAACTTCAGGTGCCTTTCATCATGGTCAGATCCCTCTGACTCCAGATGTCTCTCATTCCATCTTTCACAGGGATTGGGACTAATGATCTACTGCCTCAGGCATGGAGACCTCCTAAATTTAAACATGGGTTATCCATGCCCACAGCTGAATGAAAGGAAAGGAGTGACTCGTTTAAATTCCCTGTTTCTTACGCTATCAATCCTATTGCAAGCCTGCTTGAGTTCTTGCAAGAAGTCCTTGTACAGAGCTTTAGAAACTGTTCTGCACATGTATCCTGGAATTTTGTAATTAACTTGTCATACCTACATCTCCAGCCAGCTTTACCACACCTTAATCTCTTATCTCACTCATTTTATTACAATCTTCATTATGAAGAACATGAAACTTGTACATAAAGGATTTTTATCTCACTAATCTGATCTTTGACAAAACAATGCCACTTGTAAAATAAGATAATAATTTAAAGCTACATTAAGTGAGCATCTTTCTTAAAAATCCAACACATATGTGGGCTACATAGTGTTACAGTAGAATACCAATTTCCTTTTACTCATAGGATTACTGAAAGCTGTCCAGTCATATAGCACTGTATGAAGCTCAGAAGGGTTAGATGTTACTGAACCAGAGATGCCTATTCCAGAAACAAAAGTAGTTCTAAAAAAGAAAACCTAAGCTCTCTCGGACATACTTCCTTCAGAGGAGAAGGTGAGAAGAATAGCCTTCAGAATCTTATTTCATACCAACTAAAAACAAACAAGACTGAAGTATGGTCCAAACGGTTACTGAAGAACTAAAGGCCAGAGATAACTTACCTCATGCCACTTTTACTATAAACAGCCTGAGCAAGGTCCAAAGATGTGTGCAAGCCCCAACTGGTAAAGCTAGAAGTTTCATTCAGTGAACCTAGTGTGATTTATCCAGACTGAACTCCAGTGGCTCCCAAAGAGACAAAATACCTTTTATTCAACCAGAGTGTTTATAGGCAGCCAAAGCTTTGAGAAGGGAAGGAGAATATCCTGGATGAAAAAACTCATGGCGGCTTCTGAGAAGTCCCCTCATGAGCAGATCCAGCTTCCAATAAAGAGTGGTTCCCTCCTGAGAGATTGACTTAGGATATTGATGTAGGTATTGCCAACCTGGCTGGGGAAATAGACATGGCCTATTAATTACAAAATCCTGGAAGATTTGTGCAAACAGTTTCCAAATTCCTGCACGTGGACTTCTTGCTGAGCATTTAGGCAAGTTTTTAATAGAATGACCTGTACCTGACATCAGCCTGTGGTGTGGGATCCTAGCACCACCTCTCAGGACCCGTACGTAGAAGTTCTTGCAGGTTTCCTCAAGATCTGGACACTATAAAAGGATACACATGCCAAGAAGAGCATGCTATCATGGCTTTCCTTATGATAGCCTGCCCTGTTTTCTCCAGGATAGACTTTAACCTTTCTTTTTACTCAGCCAATCTCACTCTACAGAGCCACTTTCTCCCTCACTCTTTACTTTTATTTTGTAAATAAACTTTGTCATATGTTTTGCTCATTTCATTCAGTTCTTTGCTCAAGATGAGAAGAACCTGGAATCTAACACCAGAAAGACAGGCGAGCAACCTAAAACTGGGTAATGTTAAATTGGTGAGTCACATTTAGAAGGAATTACTTGATAACAAGATGGTCACTCCACATAGTATACATTGATAAAAGTACACAACTCAGAGGGCAGAACTATTGGCTAGTTTGTAAAATATGCTCCCAGATTAAGTTACAGATTTATTTACCATGAAGGTAAACATTCAGGATATGAAAGTTGGTAAGAAGAAAGTAGGCTTATTCAAGGGATGACATCTTGAAAATAAACAGGGGCTATCAAAATCAAAGCTCCACTTTGGGGTCTCAGAATATGCAGGGCTTTTATTGGGAAAAAATAGCATGACAGGAAAACCACATGAAGAGTAGAGTCTTTATCACCCACAATGTATGTCACTCTTTGTTATTTCTTAAACTGACCAGAATACTGCAATCAACCTCAGCCTCCTGAGACCTGTTCCTGTAGTTCTTTTTAGACAGATAGAATTGCAGAAATAGGAGGAATGTTACAAAGGTCACCAGAGTTTCTAGGCTACAGAAACCTAAATATTACTTAGCAGTTAACATCTTAATCACTTAGGTGGGGATTCTCCTTAGAAATTAGAATTCTAGGGGAAAGTAAGAGGGTGGAGAGTTTGCAGAAGTGTTAGAGAGGACCAAAGTGCTTTTGTCTGCTTTCGGGAGACAAAAGTAACTCTCCAAAGACCAACTTTCCAAAGGAGCTACACTCTACTCATCTGTGCTATTCTCTGACTTCTACTGTCAGATGTCCTTCTACTGATTATTTCACTGGTGTTTTTGATGAACAAATATTAATACAACCAGAACTATATGTAAACCATTTGGAAACTAACATCTGATCTCAGGAAATAGCAATGATCAGCCCAGAGCAGGAGCCCTCAAAAGTCACAATAGATGGTGTCGGCCCACAGGGGGGAGACTTTCATGGATGAAGTCCCCAGGTTAAAGAATGTATGTGTTCAAGACATCAGCAACAACAGCAGGCAATGTGGAGCAGAGCACAGCACGAGGATGCAACAGTGTAAGACTCACCTACATCTTTATAGCTTTACTGTATAATTCCTATACAGGTTATTTTCACATATTTACATTCTTACATACTGCCATAACCAACATGTCTTAGTTACTCTTTTCTCATTACTGGGACAAAATACCCGACACCCAAAATTAAGGAAGGAAAGGTTTCTTTAACTCTCAGTTTGTGGAGGTTTCAGTCCATAATCAGCTGGCTCCAAGGCAGGGTGGCTTGGTTGAGAGGCAACTGTTCATGGCAGTGGAAAGCAGCAAAAGCAACAAGAACCAAAAGAGGTAGAGAGACCACACCTCTGTCCCTCTCTTATACTGTGTGCAGCCTACCCATTCCAGGGTGGGTGTAACACTCACACTCATAATCCCAGCATTGGACCATGAATCAAGCACAAGCTCTAGAAGCTCACCCCATGACTGCATGAGTCTTTGGGGGAGATATCTAGATGCAAACCATAACATTCTTCCACTGGCCCCCCCAAAGACTCATGCACATCCATTTTACAAAAAGCATTTTAGTCAACCTCTAAGAGTTGCCAAATTCCTACTAGTTTTAGCATTGCTGAAAAGTCCAAGTTCCAAGTCTTCTCTGAGATATAAGACAAACTCTTAGCTGTGCACCCCTGTACAAATGAAAAAAAGTTAAAACACTTCCAACATTCAATGCCACAAGATAGACTTTTCCATTTCAAAATTACGAGTAGGGGGATACAAAGGAATGGGACCAAAGCCAGTTCAAAATCCAGCAGAGCAAACATTAAGTCCTGTAGTTCTAGTGGAACATCCAAAGAAATTTGTGGCAAGTTGTGAGCTCTAAAGCGTTTGCATGATTCTTTCCCTATGGTACTTTCAGTGGTTGTAGCTCCCACAGCTGCTATCTTAGGCCCACTTTGCTCCCTCCTTGAAGATTTTCTCAGATGATCCGTATTCCTGACTTCTCCAAACTTTTGGGGTCTCCACTGCCCCTTTAGCTTCAGACTCACAGATTCACATATTGCCCTGTCAGGAGCACACTGCCTGGTCTCTCAGGCCTTCTTCTGAAATCTGGGTGGAAGCCTCTCCAACCTCAGAACTCTTGCATTCCGCATGTGCCTAAAACCAGCACCATGTGGATGATGCCTAGGTGCCAGATGTAGCCAGGCTTTCTTCTCTCTTGGCTGTGGGGTTCAAGTGCTTGGATCACTGAGCACTCTAAACCTGATTCGAGGAACAAATTCTCTATACTGTCACCATTCTGGAACCTGGTATGGCCGCTGCCATTTTGGAACATGCTGCAGATGTCACCAAAATTCTGGAACATAGTGTGGATGCCACCCTTCTGGAACATAGTTCTCTTCTGTTTCTCCTCAAAGCACAGTCTTTCACTTTCACAATTTTGAGGCTGCAAAGGGCTGAAACATGCTGTGTCTTGTGATATCTTCAGGTCATATTTTATGTTCTCCTGTTCCTTCTCAGCAATGCAGATTTCCTCAGCTTTGTCTTTGCAGTGCATAGCTTTACTGGAGCTTTTTTTCTGGCCAAACTCACAACACTTTATATCATCCTGCTGGGCTCTTTGCTCTTCATTTACAACATAAATCTGTCTAAAAAACCCCCCAAATAGCCATACCAACACCTGAACATGTGACTGCCTTGAAATTTCTTCTGCCACATTAATGAAGTTCACTGCCCTTAGTCTAAATCTCAGGCAAAATCTCTGTACATGAGCAAAATGCAAACAGACTTTTTGCCAAGCCATAACATACATCATCTGAAGTCCAGCAGCCAATGCAGTCCTTCCCAGCAGAAACCTCCCAAGTCTAGTTTATACCAGCAGGATTTCTATCAGCCTTTGGGTCTTCTGAGCTCTGATCAGAATCTCCCATACAAAATAGTCTAAGGTATTCCAGCACTACTCTTTTAGGTGACATCTCTGAATCTTTCCACTCTTCCTGCAAACCATTCCCAAAGGTTCTTGAACCACATGGTCAGATATAGTTACAGCAATGACCCTGTTTCTCTGGTACCAAATTCTGTGTTAGTTACTTTTATCTCATTGCTGGGACAAAATATCTGACACCCAAAATTAAGGAAGGAAAGGTTTTTTTAACTCACAGGTTGTGGAGGTTTCAGTCCATAATCAGCTGGCTCCAAGATAGGGTGGCTTGGTTGAAGGGTAACTGTTCATGGCTGTGGTCAGAAGCAAAAGCAAGAAGAGCCAAAGTGTTGGAGAGAGAGACCAAGCCTCTTTCCACCTCTTATATTGTACACAGCTACCCACCCCACAGTGGGTGTAGCACTCACACCCATAATCCCAACATTGGACTGTGAATCAATCATAAATTCTAGAAGCTCACCCCAAGGCTGCATGAAGCTTTGGGGGGAACATCGAGACACAAACCATAGCACAGCACACCAATCTTTACCTGTGCCAAGTCATGTTTACATTACTGTAGCACACTGTGCACTTGTGCAAGAAGGGTGGGGGTCAGTCCTCGGGTGTCCTTAGCCACCGAAGCTTTGAAGTAGTCTGAGTGGTTCCCCACAGAGTGGTTGTGAAAGATAGACAAAAGCCTACAGAAAGGAAAGAGTATTATGTTCTTTCTGTGCCAAAAACAGTACATTCTTGCAGTGTCACAAATATAGCTGTTCAGAATCCTAGTCTGCAATGAGATGAAGTGAATAGTTGTTTATTCCTTCTGAGTAATCACCATGCATTATGATTGATGTACTTTTTTATATTTGTTCCTTTCAAGGAATGAGCTCTCTCCTCATCTCATCACTATAACTATCCTGAAAGAACTAAATAATTATCACTCTTTTAAGGAAATTTCCTACCCCATCTACAAAGAGTCCCAATGTCATGCTTTGTGTTCCACAGAGTTGCAGACAAAGACCAAAGTGAAAGTGCTTGAAGGAGACATTCTGAATGCTCAGTGTCTGAGGACAGCCTGCCAGGGCGTCTCAGTTGTCATTCATACTGCTGCTGTTATTGATTTGAGAGGTACTTGTCACAGACAGACCATCATGGACATCAACCTGAAAGGTAGAGTACCCTGGGAGTGAGCTGCAGCAGGTAGAAAGAGGAGGATTGCAGAACAGATGAGGGGAAGAGAAACCCCATCATGGGATTGCTGCTAGGCTCTAACCCAGATGCCTTTGCTTTTACTATTGACGGAACTCAGAGCTGTTACTCTTGGTGTTTTAGGTGAGTAAACCAGAGCTAAAAAGGGCAAAAACTTGGCTAAGGCCCAGAGACAGTCTGTAGGAGAGCCAGAATACTGTACCTGTGAGACTTCATAGGCCAGGAATGCTTTGCTTATAGCTGTCCCATTTCAAGGTTGACTAGACTCCAAATTGAAAACCTTGATACCCATCCATCCATCTGCACCGATGGGGGCAGATCACCTTACAGATTACACCTAGATCATGCTTTTAGCTCTCACATCAGGGATGATGAGAACATCTAGAGCCCCCTGAACACCTGAAGGATGGACTCATCTCTAGAGATGTAGCACAGCAGTTCTACAGTCGTCAGGACAGAATTGTACAGAATTTTCCTTCTAACCATAGCTTCTTAGCAAGAGTCATATTACTATCTCTTCAGTTCACCACTGGGTCTGTTCTGGAGGAGTAGATCTTAGGTGCCCAAAGGAAATTTTCCTCAGTTCCTTGTCCCTAAATGTTTTACAATTCTTTTTGAGGTAAGAGTTTTCATCCTACCATAAATTGAGTGTCTCAGTTACTTTTCTGATTGCTGAAACAAAATACCTGACACCCACAAGTCAAAGTGGGAAACATTTATTTCAGCTCACAGTTTGTAGAGGTTTCAGTCCACAGTTGGATGGCTCCAACATAAAGTGGCATCACAGAGGAGAAAATTAATGGAAGAGCAAGCAGAAGGCAGCAGCAACAAGCTGCAAAGTCAGTCCCCTTTTCCCTTTTATCCCATCCAGGCTACAAGTCCTTTGGATGATGCCACCCATACCGAGAGTGGGCCTTCCCACTATCCACACCCAAAATTATGCTAAACCAATCAATGGACTAATTTAGTACCACACACCCTTCATCACATTATCACACACCCTAGATCCTGCCATCTCCAAATATCCCACCTATGAATACATGAAGCTTTGTGATAAAAGCCATAACTTTAAGACACATTATCTCAAGGAAATTTGACCTGTAATATAATTAATCTGACCCCTGGAAGACAGTCTTTCCAGAAACACTGCAACCCCAGATCTTGAACCATGTTCCCCTGTGCCTTGACCCATCAAATTAGTGGCTCAGGAACTCCTTTGCAAAGCAACAACTTGGATTTGATTTTTCAGCACCACCCCAAAACAAACCCTTTCTAGTTATTACTTCACCATCCCCCTACATTCTCACATTGCAGGAGGGCACTGTAAGTACCCAATTCTCATTTCCTGTCATATAAGACCTGCCTTCTGTATCACCCAACAACAACATGAGAAAATGAAGGCACAGTTGGATTTCTCAAATGTTTATTAAGACATTGTCATAGGTCTACAAAATACATCAAATGATATTCATTTTCTTGTTTATTAAACTAAGCTCACATTTTCTTGGCTAAACATTTTAATTTTTTAAATTAGCTTTCTCTCAAGGAAATAAAATGCACAAACAGTTTAAAAGGGAGAATTGATTAATGAAAAATATCTTTTCTGAAGACATTCCTCTTCCCCTGAGGAAAGGCACTCTCCATGCCTTCCAGGACCAGCAGGTCTATGCTGCTAGTGCGTTTCTATGACATCCTGCTATCTCACATATTCCCAGCAGATAGCACACTTTGGTTTTCAGTTCTTCACCAAGCTTGACTGAAAAGTCCAGGACAGTATCTCCAAATTCTTCGTAAAGGAAATGTTCATCCTGGTCATTATTGGGTAACCAGGGGGATAGAAAGAAGTGACCTTCACAGAGGACACTATATCAGAAATACAGGCTGAATCCCTATATCTTCCTCAAAGAAATAACTATTTTCTCGAGGACTCAAATATGGCTCTAATAGTGAAGATTTTCTTAATCATCAACAATGAGAAAAATACAAGAATTGTATTGCTTCCTTAAGGGTATATTTTCCCTAATTACAACTGTGACTGTACAGACTAGATGTCAACTTCCAACTGTACATGAGCAGGTATGATGCGAATTACCAATAATTCTTAAAATTGTGGCCTCCTCCACACTAGAGGATTGTAGTGATACATAGAGTCTGAGGCAGTAGAATCACAAATTTAAGCCCTATTTTGCAAGACCATGTCTCAAAATAAAAAGGGGGGGGCTGAGATATAGCTCAGAAGGAAGGCCCTACATTCAACCCACATTTTCATAAAAAGAACAATAAAATAAATTTAAAATGATCTATATTTAGTGAAATTGTATGCAAAAAAAAAGGTAATTTGAGGGAGTTTGGGGCAACTCTTCTTGATATAGTTTTAGTTTTTCTATTGTTCTGGGAATTAGAATTATGGTCTTTTGCATGAAAAGAAAACCTGCCAGCACTGAACCATATTTCCTACATCAAATGATAATTTGTTAATATAACTAGTTGTCAGTGTATCATAGTTACTTTCTAATTGCTGAGACGAAATACCCAACACACACAAGTTAAGGGAGGAAAGGTTTATTTTATTCACACTGTGGAAATGTTTCAGTCCATAATCAGCCAGCTCTAAGGAAGGGTACCACATGGCAAAGTGGTAACAATTTATGGCAGTGGAAGACAGCAAAAGCAAGGAGGGAGGGACAAGACTCTTTCTGTCACTTACATTGTATGTAGGCTACCTGCCCTAGGGTGGGTGTAGCACTCATACCCATAATCCTAGCCAGAGCTACGCCAAACCAATCAGTAGACTGATGCACTAATCACACAACCTTAAGCCCAACATCACACACTCTAGATTCAGCCACCTCTGACAATGTTCTATGACCACATGAGGCTTTGGGAGCCATCTAGACACAAAGCATAAATTCTACCCCTGACCCTTCAAAGACTCATGCACATCCTTTTATACAAAAAGCATTTCTTTAATCCATCTCCAAGAGTTACTGAAGTCTTAACCATTTCATTTATCGCTGAAAAGTCCAAGTCCCAAGTCTTCACTGAAATGTAAAGTAAACTCTTAGCTATGATCCCCTGCATGAATGAGAAGAAAGTTAGATACTGGTTCCAAAGCAAGATAGCTTGGCAGAGGAGATTACAGAAGGAAACCAATTCATGGCAAGCAGAAGACAGTAAAAGCAATCAAGCAACAGATGACCACAGCTCTCTCTACCCCTTATATCTTATCCAGACTTCTTAGAGCAGGTAGCACTCACATCCTTAACCCTAGTGCCCTTGAGTCTAGCATTGCACTATGAATCAATTCTAGTATTATGCACCTTACATCCAGTCACCTGAGAAAAGCCTCTGACTGCATGAAACTGTGGGGAGACATCTAAATACAAGCCATACACCCAGTTCATGACCATTTCATTGCAAAGAATGAGCGATTACTCAGAGTCAATATCTAGTTCAAACTTGAAGAAGGCACAAAGGGACTTCCCTTAACAATGTGAGAGAATCTCATAAAGAGGACCCCAAACTGAAGCATCTGTGATTTTTTACTGATAGAACCAGAAAGCAAGAACAAAAGAAGATCATCTGTGTAGGAATTCATGTAGAGGACAAGGGAACAGCAGGAAAAGGATAGGTTTGTCCACTACCTGATGGACTTAGGGCCAATCTATGTAATAAATCACAGTATGGGGAGGACAAAGGACAGACATATATTCTTTAAGGCAATGAGTTTTGATCCTATATGAACTTGTGCTGCTGTAGGACATATTTTAATCTTTAGCTATGCCTTCCAGGAGATTTGGGACATGTGGCACCCAGATTCCTTATCTTTGCATATACCTCTCATACACACATCTGGCCAAAGCCCCCGCATGTAAATATAAGAAAGTATCAACCCTACGCACTTTTAAATTCAAAGTACAAATATGTACCCACAGATCTATGAATCAAAAACTCTAAAAATTCTTGTTAACCTGACTCAAATATGAAGTTTTTATTTTTGAATTTTCTTCAAATTATAGCATGATATCTGACTCAGGAAGATGAAAAATTACACTTACATAATTACTTCCTTTGGGAAGAGAAAAGAGATGAATATGAACCTTGGGTACAGAGAGGCCTCTGGGTCATACTGAACATGTACTGCCCACGTGCAGGTACTCAGTTACTTTTGGAGGCCTGTGTGCAAGCCAGCATGCCAATTTTCATCTATGCCAGCTCGACTGAGGTAGCTGGGCCCAACTCCTATAACGAGATCATCAACAATGCCCATGAGGATGAGCATTACAAAAGCACACGGTCTGCTTCCTACCCGTACAGCAAAAAGCTGGCAGAGAAGGCTGTGCTGTAGCCTGACAGATATGTAAAAATCACCTCAGGAGGAGAGGGTAGATATGAACAAAAATATGACCCATAGGGGTCCCTTGGGTTATTTTCTCTTTTTTTTAAGGTTTTTTCTTTTAAAAATTTAAAAAACTAACAAAACAACAGTGAGGACAAAATCAAAACAACACAAAAGCAACAAAAATGATACATGACCTCAAAACAAAATGGTAGGAATTAACAATGGTTCCTACATTACCTATTGTTATCTTCAATAAAGTTGCTCAGTCCACCAGACATAAGAATATAACACTGATCAAACAATCAAAGACAGTAACAAGTAATAAAAAAAAACCCACACTGGAAATGATACAAAGCTTCACCATACTTATACTGCATATTGTTGGTTTCAGATCAGTCACTCTGATTACCAGATTCAAGAGTGCAAAATTGGTCAAGAACAAAGAAAATTTTAAGCATTGACTGTTCCTTTCCATAAACCACAGACATCAGCAATACACCTATCCCAGCTATCCTGTATATACATAGAAATTTTGTTTTCCGTTTTAAAAAAAAACCTTGAATTATTTTCTGATGCTGACCCTGTGCTCCCCACTTCAGGAACCCAGCACCTGTTGGAGGCCTGTGTGCAAGCCAGCGTGCCAATCTTCATCTACACCAGTTCAGTGGAGGTAGCTGGGCCCAACTCCTACAAGGAGATCATCCAGAATGCCCACGAGGACGAGCACCATGAAAGCACGTGGTCTGCTCCCTACCCATACAGCAAAAAGCTGGCGGAGAAGGCTGTGCTGAAAGCGAATGGCTGCACGCTGAGAAATGGTGGCACCCTGCACACTTGTGCCTTGAGACCCACCTACATCTATGGAGAAGGAAGCCCATTCTTGTCTTCTGTGGTGAATACGGCCCTCAAAAACAATGGGATCCTGAAAAGTATAGCCAAATTCTCTATTGTCAACCCAGTCTACATTGCTAATGCAGCCTGGGCCCACATTCTGGTCACCAGGGTCTTAAGAGATCCCAACAAGGCACCAAACATCGGAGGACAATTCTACTACATCACAGATGATACGCCTCACCAAAGCTATGATACTTTCCATTATACCCTGAGCAAAGAGTGGGGTCTCAGCCTTGATTCCACCCCGAGCTTCCCTCTCTCTCTAATGTACTGGCTTGCTTTCCTGATGGAAATAGTGAGCTTCCTATTGAGGCCCATTTACAAATATCAACCACCCTTTAACTGCCACTTACTGACCCTGTTAAATAGTGTGTTCACAGTCACGTATAAGAAAGCTCAACGAGATCTAGGGTATGAGCCACCCTTCAGCTGGGAGGAAGCCAAGCAGAAAACTGGGCAGTGGATCAGCTCGCTAGTGCAGCAGCACAAGGGCACTTTGAAGACAAAGACTCAGTGATGTGGCCATGACAGGGAGGGGTTCTGGGTGATGCCTGGAGCTACTTATATTCTCCTTCCATCTGGGTTCCTCCAGAATATGACAAAGGCACATGCCCAGGTCCTACAGCCTCCTGCCCACACAATGGCAACTTACTGTCTTCCTAAGGCCACTAAGGTGCCAGGTGATCTCATTTCCCCTTGCTAGTCATAAAGTGTTTTGTTTACTTGAAAAACTTACACTGCTTCACAAAGCACAATGAAAACAAAATAAAACTCCATGCCTAACATGGAATCCATGTGGTTTTTATGAACACACCTTTTCCACCTTTCCTTTCCCATTCCAGCTATGGCCATGTGCCATTCAGAAGGAGCATGGAACTGTCTTGGGAAGAGTGATGGCAGAGCCAGGAGAGCACCTGAGATAGCCTCTGACCTGCTAGGTTTCAGGCATACACCACATGACTTACATTACTTCATTTCAGCCTCACCAGATGACTGGGAGACAGGCCTGCTATCCCCATGGCATGGATGAGGAAAGTTACTCACAGGCTCACTAACTGGTATGTGGTGAGGCCAGATCTCTGTAGAGACTGACTTTATCCTTGTTTCTTTTTAGTCTGTTTTCTTTCCCTCCATCTTCCCCTCAATCTTATCAATTTTTCTGAGGATAAGAGTCAAACAAGAGAGTCTGAGGACATAAAAGAAATTATAGTAACTAACCAAACAAAGAACCAAGAGTTATAGAATACCTGTCAGCTCCCCAGGGCTAGTGCCAAATGGAAAGCAGGTAAGGAATCAGATGTGGAGATCTTGTGAGCAGAGGAAGCCCCGCCTTCGACTCCTGAATGTTGCCTCCTTTGTCTTGTGTACCACAAACATCACAACAATCTCAATCAGCATCAAGATGTTTTCCTTCTTACATTCAATAAAATTAATTAAATACCTTTGATTTGGATGAAGCTACTGAATTATACCCATCAGACCAACATAAATGCTGTCTCTCATGCTGAAATTCAACACCTCAGGCAGAAATTAAAGTGTTTTCCTGACATCAAAGATACAGTGTTAGGAGAGAGAAATAATGCCCATACTCTCCAGCAGGCCAGGTATAACCAGTGTGACAAGTAAGTCCTTTCTGCTGTAACCTTTAAAAGGAAAGTATCTTTGAAATATCAATTTGCTTTCTAGTAGAGCTTTGTTGTCTGCTTGAGCTTTGTTCAGGTAATTCATGTACAGAGGGCCTCTCATCTGCTCAACTCATTGGACAACCATTGTGTCCTATAAAAGACTCATTATTTTATTCTAGCCACAAGTAAAGGACAAGGAACCTAATTTGGTACAGTTTTGTACTATGACACCTGGGAATTTACAGATCATTAATTCAGATGATTTGGACTATCACTAAGGATATAGCCATGCATTCACTCTCAAGGAGAAAGAAAAAGAAAATTCAGACACTGGCTGCCAATGTCCAGGGGGCAGAGGCCCCTACTGAGCATCAGGGTGCAGTGACCGCAGGCAGTGGCAAGTGAAACATGAAGCCAAAACCTGTACCTCAGCTGAGCACAGCACAAGAGCACAGCACAAGAGTCCTGATGAGGCATGCACACCTTCCATGTGTCTATGCCAGCAACTCAGGAAGGAAAGAGATTGATGGAGTTTGGGGAGGGGACTTTACTCTCATTTTTATCCCAGAAAATCCTTCATTGAACCCAACAGGGTTATGGGATAGGACAAGATATTGTCTCCAAAAGGCAGACTGAGGTGAAGAGAGACAAAGGGGACTGTACTGGTTGGTGAACTCAACTGAGTTAGCATAAGGCCTCAGAATGATTTGGCCAACAAAACCTTGTCCCTACCTACATTGGATAGGACTATCTAGGCCAGGCATCCTAAAGTCCTGCATGAAGCCTGAGAGTGGAAGCCCTGGCCTGAGTTCTCCTTGCCCTTCCCTTTTCCTGGACTACATGCAGTCTGTGATGAAAAAAGACATAAACACACGTAAGTGCTCAATCAGTGGCTAATGTCTCTCTATACATTAGCACAGAGAAAGCAGCTAAGCTGAAGTTGCTGAGGAAAGCTTGGTGGAGTCCATTGGATTTGGGGAGGAGTGAGAGGTAGAGAAACACAACAGAGGGTAGGGTGATCAGGTGGGCAAGGCCAGAAAGGCATAAGGGTGGAAAAGCTGGATACCTGCTGAACAGAGCGCCCTCAGGACAACTGACAAGCCCGGTGCAGACTGAATGTG